AAAAAAAAAAAAAAAAAAAAAAAATCCCCTCCACATCCTAACATGCAATAAAAGGTTATTCATTTAACATGAATGTTAAGCACAGAAGGAAAACAAGGCTTAAAAAGAAGAGCAGCACGGTGAAAAAAACAAACTTGCCTTCACGTAGTTAAATGTAAAACGAGTGTGTACTTGAAAGTATAAAACGTTGGAAATGCAATGCAACTCAAACAGTGTATTCCAGTCATTGGGTTTCTTCATATTCTCAACTGTGGGACATAAACATGAGTCACTTGGGCTGTGCCAATATTTAGGAGCACCAGGGCAGCCATCCTGGTACAGCTAAACAGCAGTTGCATTAGAAATATGCTTCACTTTTTTAAAAAGGGGTGAAAGAGAACTTTGGGTCGAATTCTGGAGTGCCTAACATTTTAACACTATGTTGTTTTCTGTTATTTTTCTTTTTATGAAAAGATTTTACTGTAGAACTAAAATTACATTTTGGTTAATGTCTGATGGAAACCAACAAATTTATTTGACTTAATAGTTTTTTTTTCCTGGCTTACGGGCACAGAGTTGACTGTGGGCCATACAGTCAACAAGCTCCCTCACAGGGCTTTTCCTTGGCTTTGCTCTGAAGCATGGTCTCTTTACCATGCAGACAAATGGCTGGGAACCTCTCCAGGGCAACTCTGGTTTTCCAACCAGACTCTCTTTTTAGTGACCATCAGTCAGCAAACATTGCCAACTTGCTAGCTACCCCAGGACTGGATCTAAAACACAGCCCTCAGCCTTTTCCTCTGCTTCCCTTCCCATGCCACCATCTGTCTATAAAACTTTATCCTCCTCTAGGATACATTGCTCTACCATGCAGTTGCTTGTTGAAATGCCTGCCTTCTCTCCCAGACTTCAAGGTTTTTCAGAGCAGAAGCTTTGTCTCATTTAACCTTGTATTCCCCCTGCCTTATATTGTTCACAATATAGTTAATGAATTCATATTGAATAAATATAGATGTATTTGTTAGCATCTTTACCATCATGAAACTCTCAAAGTTAAAACAACTTCTAAACATAATGAATTATTTCTTATATTTGATTACAGTAGGTGACACTTCCATCCTAGCACCTCCTCCCCTACCCCACAAACTATTATGTTTGTGGTATGGTTTGAAGCTGTGTCTCCCCCTCAAATCTCGTGTTGAAATATAATCCCCAAAGCTGGAACTGGGGTCTGATGGAGGTGATTGGAACATGGGAACAGTTTCTCATGTTTTAACACCATCGCCCCTTGGTGCTGTTGTCACATTAGTGCAGGGGTCCCCAACCCCCTGGCCACAGAATGGTATTGATAAGTGTCCTGTGAAGAACTAGGCTGCACAGCAAGAGGTGAGTGGCAGGCCAGTGAGCATTACCGCCTGAGCTCCACCTCCTGTCAGATGAACCATGGCATTAGATTCTCATAAGTGTATGAACCCTATTAGAAACTGTACATGCAAGGGATCTAGGATGCATGCTCCTTATAAGAATCTAACTATTTTGCCTGATCTGAGGTGGAACAGTTTCGTCTTGGAAACCCTATCTTTCTCCCCCAACTTGGGAAAATTGTCTTCCATGAAATCAGTCCCTGTTACCAAAAAGATTGGGGACCACTGTGATGATGTAAGACGCCTGCTCCCACTTTACCTTTCACCATGACTGTAAACCCCCTGAGTCCTCTCCAGGGGCAGATGTTGCCTTGCTTCCTGTACAACCTATGGAGCCATGAGCCAATTAAACCTCCTTTCTTTATAAATTACCCAGTCTTAAGTATTTCTTTATAGCAGTGCGAGAACAGCCTAATACAGTTAGTTAAGTCACCAAATGACTTGGCATAACGTTTCTTAAGGAGATAGAGTGTCCTTTCCTCCAGAGCAGGAGTGAGTGTCATTTCTGTTTTTCCTCTTTATTGTTGATCGCAGAATTGGCTTCATAAACACTTGATGATTGGTATATGCTTTACTCAGAATTCTTGTTCATGCTAGTGCTGAACACCCAAATCACACTAACGTAAACCAAAAAAGGATTGTATGGACTGTGTAACTGAAAAATTCAGGATCTAGTCTCAGGGACTCTAAATACTGAAATATGCCACCACGACTCTTCTGTGCCTTTCTTCACTTCCTGTTCTGCTTCCATGTTGGCTTTCTTCAGTTCTAATGAAAATATCTTCCTTCTTACAGCAAGGAAGAAAAAGCATGGCAGGCTTATAATGTCCTATCTTAACAAAATGTCAGACCTCTCATCTAACCCTTCCACCTCCACATATAAATTTCAGAGAATGACCATGGGTTAACTAGGGTTGTGTGCCATCCCTAAGCCAATCAGTGGAAGAATAGGAAACTCACTGGCCAGGCCTGAGTCATATACCCACTTCTGTGACCAGAAGATGGGCGTTACTATTTTGTGCAGCCTCCCAAAATCATACTGGAGGGAGGAGGGGCATTTCTCCAAATGAAGGAAATGTTTTAAATTAGAAGAGAATGTGGGCAAACTAAAACAACAAATGTCCTCATCATGAATGTTCTGTAATTTTGAAATAGATAATATCTGGAAAATGTTCCAGGAGCATCTCAACAGAGAAAATGTTGGCTTATGTAAAAGCAACTCCCCTTTATTCATTGTTATGGTTAAACTTTTAAAACTTGGAGAATGTTTTAAGAACAGTCATATGTCTCTTCATTACAGAATACATTCTGAGAAATTCATTGTAAGCCAGTTTCAGTGTTGGGGGAACATCATAGAGTGTACTTACATAAACTTAGATGGTACAGCCTCCTTCATACAGAGGCTAGATGGTATAGTCTATTGCTCCTAGGCTACTAATCTGTGTAGTGTGTTACTATGCTGAATACTGTGGGCAGCTGAAACACAATGGTATTTGTATATCTAAACATAGAAAAGCTATAAGAAACATACATATGTAGTATAAAAGATAAAAAAATTGTATACCTATAGAGGACACTTACTATGAATGAAACTTGCAGAACTGGAAGTTGCTCTGGGTAAGTGAGTGAGTGAGTAGTGAGGGAAAGTGAGGGCCTGGGACATTACTGTACACTACTACAGACTTTATAAATGTTGTACACTTCAGCTACCCTACATTTACTGAAAATTTTTTTCTTTAATAATAACCTTAGCTTACTGTAACATTTTTACTTTATTAACTTTTTAATATTTTGACTCTTTTGTAATAACATTGAGCTTAAAATATAGTTACATTGTACAGCCGTACAAAAGTGTTTTCCTTGTTTATATTCTTACTCCTTAAGCTTTTTTCTATTTCTAATGTTTTTTTCTTTTTAGACTTTTTTGTTAAAACTAAGACACAAACACATTAGCCTAGACCTACCCAGGGTCAGGATCATCAATATCACTGTCTTCCACCTCTATATCTTGTCCCACTGGAAGGTCTTCAGGGGGCAGTAACAGGCATGGAGCTATCATCTCCTATGATAACAATGCCTTCTTCTGGAATATCTCCTGAAGGACCTGCCTAGGGCTGTTTACAGCTAGCTCTTTTTTTATAAATAGAAGGAGTACACTTCACTAATGATAAAAAGTGTAGTATTATAAAAACTAGGCAGTAGGAATTTTTTTGCTCCATTATAATCTTAGGGGACCACTGTTACATATGCAGTCAGTTGTTGACCAGAATGTTATGTGACACATCACTGTATTTTAAACTATTCCTGGAAACAGCTTTCTACCTAAAAAAGTACTACATGTGTTCCAAAATTCAGAAACACTTGAGTTATTTTCTGTCAGTCAAATTGTTGTATCTCTAGTCTGTTTTTCTCATTGAATTTCATAAAGTATAAATTGAAGATGTATCCCTCAGGGAATAAATTCAGAACTAATAAAAACAATAATACTGTGACATATGTTTCCTTTCCCTAAAAAATGTTACACCAATCCTGGATGAGGATCTGTGAGTTTGTTAAAGAAAAAATTGTTTTATCAAGTGAGAAATGTGAAAAGTTGTTTTCCACAGGGTTGACCAGAAGACTGGGCACATCATTAATCCAGCACAATTCACCACTCCCACTGGAAACATACTAGCAATTCACATCTTCACATCTTCCAAACAAAGAGGAACCTCTTACTCCAAAAGAAAAATGGCATTCTGAAAATATTGTTTCAGACTTCAGTGTCAACGCCAAAATTCTGTTAAACATAAATCTTATATAAGACCCCAAAATTCTGTTAAACATAAATCTTATATCAGCTACCTCCAGGCTCCATTGATGACATTATTACTCTCAATATAATGAATTTCTAATTATATTTGCCATTGACAGGAGTTGGCTTTCCTCCAGATGGAAACCTGAAATTACATCTTCCTAAAGTAAAAGGCAACATATGACCCTTTGTAATCCATAGAGACACCTAGGATATTCATTGAACAAATAAGTGGATAAAGAAGAGCAGTTACTATTGATAAGAGGGCATTGGTTTGAAACTGTTACAGATTATAATGTGAGGTTAAATGTATAAATCAGTCACTATTTGAATTTTTATTGTACTTTACCACTCTAGTCTTTAAGCAAGTAAAATTTTTATATAGTTCCATCAAACATACACATCATAAGTAGAATAGACATGAAAGTAATTATTTTTATTTTTACAGGTGGCTGAAGCCATACTCTTTTATAGAATTAATGGAAAGCAGAAAAGACATCACAAGGCAAGAAGAACTTTGGAAAATGAAGCCTAGGAGAAATTTAGAAGAAGATGATTATTTGGTAAAATATTAATAATAACAATAAGTGATAACCTCTATAAACATAATTCAGATGCCATTCTATATCTCCTAGTGTTATGAAAACTAACCAGTATTTTTCACCCTAGTCTGCTGATATCTGGACTTGGATTACTGTCACTGATACTGTGAAGGACAGAGTAGTATATGTAAGACAAGTAGTACCTTGACTGATTGTCAGGGACTTAGCTCAATAACCTTGAATAAGTCACTGAAAATCTGGGGTCTTAGTCTAAGCCATGAAAGTCTTGGACCAGATCATCCCCAAGGCCCTTCCAATTCTTTCTAACAGTCTATAGTTCTAATTTTAAAAAAAAGTCATCAAAGCCCATACAACAGTAATTTTGTTAGCAAGCATTTTTGTCATGGACACAATGGCAACTTACCAAGAGATCATCTAGTAAATTGGTGATTCACTGTAAAACCAAATAAATTTACTTTTGGGCAAGAATCACTTGTCCCACTTTTGGTCAACCACAGAATTCAGTGTTTCTTACTACATTTTATGACTGAAAAAGTGGCAAAAATTTTGGTTCCAAACTCTCCCAAACTATCTCAATGGAAGTTTTAGCAGAAATTATTTATTTAATCTTAATAAATCCTAATTTTAATAGGGATAAGTAATTAAGAAATTATAAACATATACTTTATAAAAGTAACAGTGTGCATAAAATGAAATTATTGCATTTTTCAAGTTTACTGTCTTGTCTGAAGCATGTATTTCTTTTGTCCTAAAGAAAAAATCTTTCAGTGCCACATAGACTGTGCTATCTTCAACTAACCAGTATTCAAAAGCAAGACTCTGAATGCTGTTATTCAATGAGAAGCATAATGCTTGAGCAATAAGTAATTAGTTTAAGAGATATCCCATTGTTTTGTTCAATTTTAAGATATTTATCTTCTTTTCTTTGTAGCATAAGGACACAGGAGAGACCAGCATGCTAAAAAGACCTGTGCTTTTGCATTTGCACCAAACAGCCCATGCTGATGAATTTGACTGCCCTTCAGAACTTCAGCACACACAGAAACTCTTTCCACAATGGCACTTGCCAATTAAAATAGCTGCTATTATAGCATCTCTGACTTTTCTTTACACTCTTGTGAGGGAAGTAATTCACCCTTTAGCAACTTCCCATCAACAGTACTTTTATAAAATTCCAATCCTGGTTGTCAACAAAGTCTTGCCAATGGTCTCCATCACTCTGTTGGCATTGGTTTATCTGCCAGGTGTGATCGCAGCAATTGTCCAACTTCATAATGGAACCAAGTACAAGAAGTTTCCACATTGGCTGGACATGTGGATGTTAACAAGAAAGCAGTTTGGGCTTCTCAGTTTCTTTTTTGCTGTACTGCATGCAATTTATAGTCTGTCTTACCCAATGAGGCGTTCCTACAGATATAAGTTGCTAAACTGGGCATATCAACAGGTAAGATGACAATGTCGACACTATTACTAAATAAAAAATCTAAGTCACCTGACAAATTAATCATTTCTCATTGTAATATTAATACCCTAACCCCTGTTGAAACTCAATGTTGAAAATGCCATATATTTTAAAATGTTTATTATACTTTCACTAGGGCTTTGTTGTCAGTCGGTTTTATATTGAGAAACATTTTTAAGCTGAAAATAAGGTACAACTTTAGCAACAAAAGAAACATTTTATTCATGGACAAGGCCATATTTCAAATTTCTACCACCTTCACAAGATTACTTTTTAACACTGATTGTTCTTATCTTCTCCTTGTTTATCTTCTTAATGAGCATGCACATTACAGTTCTAACCAAGTAAACCATCAAATAATTATTAGAAAGTTAATAGATTATGGAAATGTGGCATTCAAGAAGAAAAGTGATAGCTTCTATGTCATTTATCTTAGAAGAATACCAAAAAAAAGAAAGAAAAAGTCATACATGTGTGGAGACCTGTTTCTGGGCTTTATATTAGACACAGGGAAGAGTATAGAAGGAGATTCACATTCAGGAAATAACTCTTGTTTGCATTCCTTCTTTCTGTGTTTACCCTCTGGTAGGTCCAACAAAATAAAGAAGATGCCTGGATTGAGCATGATGTTTGGAGAATGGAGATTTATGTGTCTCTGGGAATTGTAGGACTGGCAATACTGGCTCTGTTGGCTGTGACATCTATTCCATCTGTGAGCAACTCTTTGACATGGAGAGAATTTCAGTATATTCAGGTAAATAATCTATAAAATAACTCTAAGAAGTAAATCATCTTTTGCACTTATAATAACAAATATGTTGACTTTACTCATAAAAAATAACAAATGTTTTTCAATAGCGAAGATGTTGCACTTGTTTCAGTTAATAATATGCTCTCCTGTTGTTCTCCCTATTGCTTCTAATTAGGACAAGTGTTTCCTAGACATAAATAAAAGTCATTAAAATATATATATATATATGTTTTTTAAGTAAGAATTACTTGTTCTTTGATTTATTTCCCTTAGGCATTGTCAGACTTGGCATTGTTTTATATTTTTACTTTTTTTTTTTTTTTTTTTTTTTGAGATGAAATCTCACTCTTTTGCCCAAGCTGGAGTGCAGTGGCACGATCTTAGCTCACTCCAGCCTGTGCCTTTTGGGTTCAGGTGAGTCTCCTGCCTCAGCCTCATGAGTAGCTGGGATCACAGGCACCCACCACCATGCCCAGCTAATTTTAGTGTTTTTAGTAGAGATGGGGTTTCCTCATGTTGCACAGGCTGGTCTCAAACTCCTGACCTCAAATGATCCACCCACCTCGGACAGTCATGAGCCACCACACTCCACCTATTGATTCTAATATTTGAAACTTGTTAAACAATTTGCTACCCATCTAATGTGATATTTTAGAAATCCAATATGCATGGTTTATTAGTTTTTTAAAAATAAAAATATTCTTTAACCTGTCACCTGAATAAAAGTCATGCCTTTTATGTTACACAACTTAGCACTATCCAGAAGCAAAAGCCCTCTCCTTGAAATAATAGTGTTTTATCTACCAAAGATATTCTAGTATGTAATTTCAAAAGCTGCTTTTTCCAGCTTACATTTTATATAGCTTACTCACTTGAAGTTTCTAAATAGTCTTGGAATTTTAAAACTATCTTAGGTTTACCGAAGTTTATCTTCTGGTGGTAGATTATCCATAGGAAAAAAGAGAAAAAGTGCTGTGTCACAATTCACTTGGGATCCTTGTCTGACAAGATTCAAAGGACTAAATTTAATTAGTCATAAGCACTCCCAGTTACCTTTTATGGGCAGACATCTTTGGAAATTTCCACAAAGTCAGACATTTCCAACTATCCCTTCTACATGTCCACACGTAAACTCCAGCACTTTATTAGGGCATCTGATTAGGCTCGAAAGTATGCCTCCATCTGAATTCTTCCAGTGTAGCCTAGAGATGGTACCACATTCTCACAGAATTTCCTGATTTTGTAGGTTTAGCCTGAGAGCCATTGGAGTTCTCTGGTCCTCATTAAATAGCTTTCTTCATACATTACTCTGCCTGTTACACATAGGAGGAACACCACTTTTTAGACTTAATTAGGAATTTAGGACTGCATCTTGACAACTGAGCTCATTCCACGACATGCACAAAACCTAGCCCATAATAAGTATACAATATACATTTGGTAAAATTAATTTTCAACCAATAACGTGTATGTTTAAACCAGAAGCCTAGAAATATTTCATTTAATATCTGAGAACTGGTTACACTACGATTTACCATGGAGATTCACATCTTAAAACATAAACTTAGCTATTTGATTATATTCATTGGGACTTAAGAATATGGCTGAATAATTGTGAGTTAGATTTGTTCTGGTAGGTCAATGACCATTTCCAGTAAAGTGAATAGATGTCAGAAGTTATATAGAAGTGCTGTTGCCAGAACACTGTTAAGGTTACACAGGTGCACAACTATTTTTAAGCAATTTTATCTGTGTAGTGACAAAGCATCCCAATGCAAGCTGAAATGTTTCATCACATCTCCAGATCTCTCTATTTTGTGCAGACATTGAAAAAATTTCAGTTATCCATAATTGAAAAAATGTCAATGTCTGCACAAAATGTTCAGTGTTCAATGTTCACATTTTTCCATTTTATCAGAATATTCAATTTTTTAAAACGTAGGCCAAGTTCATTCACTTCATTATTAATTTATCAAAATCAGAGTGAATCACATTAGTCAACTTCGCAATTGATAAAGATCACTGAAATCAAATTGATTTTTTTCTGTAATCTTCAGTTAATCTACCTATATTTAATTGAGCATCTAAAACGTGCAAATCATTTTGTTGATTCTGCAGGGATCCTGTTATAAGTAAGACTCAGTCCCTGATTTTAGGTGGCTTGTGATAAGCAGAATTAAGACAAATACACAAGAGATAAAGCCCAAAAAATGAATGTCATTTAAGAGAGATGAACAAAGTGGTAGAGAAAGAGTAGACAGGGTTTTTGATCACCTGCATGCAAAGAAAGGCTGTAGGTTTTGTTCCCTTAGATAGCCTGGAGACAAGAACATTACCAAAAGTAAGGTGAGGAAGACATGCAAAAAGGGTAGAAAAGATGTGAATGGACATTGTTGAGAAATGTGATAGGAAAACAATCATAGATAAGGATTTCCAAGCAGCAGAGCATATCCAGATGAGGTAGGATGGGATAAACTCCTACTGAAGCAATCTTCACCAATTTTGTTTTTCTTTTGCAGAGCAAGCTAGGAATTGTTTCCCTTCTACTGGGCACAATACACGCATTGATTTTCGCCTGGAATAAGTGGATAGATATAAAACAATTTGTATGGTATACACCTCCAACTTTTATGATAGCTGTTTTTCTTCCAATTGTTGTCCTGATATGTAAAAGCATATTATTCCTGCCATGCTTGAGGAAGAAGATATTGAAGATTAGACATGGTTGGGAAGACATCACCAAAATTAACAAAACTGGGATGTCTTCTCAGCTGTAGAATTACAGTTTACACACATTTTTATTAAATATTGATATATTTTATCATCAGCATTTCAAGTTTGTATTTGTTAATAAAATGATTATTCAAAGATCTTAATGTTTCTCTTCATATATGTGTGATGAGTTTAAAATATGTGTATTTCCTTGTAGATTTGATTCAAAGCAAAAAAAAATCTTTTTAATACTAATCTCTAGCACTTTCTCTGTAATAAAGGTAAGCATGCCAAAATAGCATCTGATTTGTCAGATTAAATAGCATTACAAATAATCAAGAGCTTTGAAATACCAGTCCTTGCTACCCATTAGACAGGTATCATTATGAAAAAATTATTTTATCTGAATCTCCAACAAAAGCATAATAAGCATTTATTCACTATTACTAAAGAGCTTTAATTTGTCTGTACCCAGGTTTTGCTCATGGAACACCTACCTCAAAAAACACAGACTGTGTCTATACAAGTAAAGCAGCAGAGTAATATCAGATACAGTCAGGCAAAATAGAACTCAGGCTATCCAGGAGAAATAGTAAATTCAATAATTTCCACCTGAGTTATGTACAATTCAGTTTAGCTTACTTTAATGCATTGGCAAAGCTTAACATAAAACATTCCCTGAAAGAACAAACTATACATTAGCTGTCAGGACTTGCTAACCCAACTATGTGCTTCAGAGGTTTTCCATGATTAGCAAAAGTAATCACAAGCTTTATCTTTTATAGTGGTGAACCATTTATTATTAAAGACAATAGAGATAATGGTGCAAATTAGGAAAAACAATTAGGCTATTCAGTAAGTGGAGTCCAGTTTTTCTATTTTTTCTATCGCAAATGATGATTATTCATTATTACATGGGGGATAACGAACTTCCCTGGGCACAAATTTGAACTCTGCATTATTGAGGTTCAGACATACAGAGATATATTCACAGACAGTGAAGAAAGGAGTTGAGAGCAGCAATTCTGAACTGACGACAGAGCAGACGAGAGTGTCCTTGAGAAAAAACTCAGCATAAAAGAAAAATAAATCTAGGACTTTAGAATTGCAAACCAGATTCATCAAGGGCACATAACTATGGGACCACTTAACTAAGCATGACACATGTCATTGCATAATCAACCAGCTCTGAGACGCAGCAGTCAAGTAACATAGTTTCACCTGCATGGCAAAGTGTCAGCACCTCCGGTACTGAGAAGGAGAAATCAAGTACCAAGTACCTTCCTAGTACCAAGACATAGAGGCTGCAGCTGAAGTGACACCTCAGTGAAGCTTTCAGGAACAACAGCCCAAGTTCTGACTTGATTATTGAACCCCTGCCTTGGTAGCCATGGTAACAAAGAACAACAGGCCTATTCTGAAACAGAGAATATACCTTTTTGAGGATTACTAGTTACAGGAAAAGGAATCAACAAGGTCCTTAAAAGCAAGGCACAAAACATCTAGATTCCATTTTTACTCATAGATTGATAAGAACTAAACCACTCTTTGTAGCTTTTGTGAAGTTTTTACAATAGTTGGGTAGTATTTTTATGAGCTGAAGAAAACAATAAAAGTTGTCTTTAAAAGATCATATATAATGTTCTGGTATAAGCTTGGATTTTCTTTTCTTTTACTCCACCAACATCACTAGAGCATATTCCACATACTAGGTCAGTGCTAAACAGAGACTATGGAAAGATAGAAATGACCTAGTCTCTACTCACAGTCATGGGGAAGACAAATTTTAGTGCACCAATGGATTCTGAGTGTACTGATATCACTTAACGAATGAATGACCAGTTCTGTTTACAAGAGCAAAGTCAGGAAAGTATGAGGTTGAGCCAGAAAAAAACCCTTTGAGCTGGGTATTGCGTACGTAAAAGTTCCTCAGACAGAATGGGAGGGCAGGGTGTAATGTAACATGTTGGAAGACCTAGCTTAGAGTGGCTGGAACAGAATGTGTGAGAAAGAAATACCAAATTACATATAGACAAAAATTAGATAGGTCGAGGTCATTGTATGACATGAAACTAAGTTTGAGTTTTGCCCTTTAGGAAGTAGGGAAGCAAATTAAATTTTTAAACAGGAGCTAAACATTATTCAAGAGCTCCTAAGCATTATTATTTTAGGTGCTAAACATTATTAGATTTGCATTCTAGAAAGATCTATCTGTAGACTATCCAGGAGATGAATTTGATGGTGAGGGGCAAAGGGAGAAAGCAAGTTAGAAAACAACACAAACACTTAAGGAGACAACTGTAATACCCCAGGGCAGAGGCAATACATTCCCAAATTAAGGTCATTACAGAGGAGAAGATAAAAGATGAGAGCTAATGAAATAGCAAGATGAAAGTTCTAGTCATTCGTCAACAATAGCATAGAAGGACCGAGGGGGAGGAAGGCATTTAGGGTAGAGTTTCTAGGATTCTTTTAGGTCAGATGATTTAAGAATGATCCCATTAAACAGGATAGAAAAATTCTATGGAAGGAGCAGATATTTTAACCAAAACAAAAACAGAGCGTGTGCTCTGTAAATCGTATGCTGTTTACAATCGTTATCAGTTGCTAAGGGATGTAGTGTGTTTCTTTAGTTTCAGGGTACACAAATATAACTATGAAAGGCATATCATCTGGGAAGCAGAATGGAAAAGGTCTTTTTCTGGCTCCTTTGAAAGAATGATTTTTAAATAAAACATCTGATATGGTCAACACACATATGTCTGGATAGTTATAGATATGAATATAGATATGAACGTCACTATACTGTGACATGCACAGTGTCCTCCTGCAGTAGAAGGAACAGCGACTGGAAAACAGCTGGCTGTGAGCCCAGTGACTTCCTTCTCCAAGCAGAACTCTCCTTCTTGATCAAAATGAGCCTACCTGGGGTTTATTTTCTTTAAAGATTTGCTCAATAGAGATTTTATGATCTTTGGTTTAAAAAAAAAAGTTAAAATGATACATTTACTATTTTAATAACGAGTTACATTTAATATTTTATGGCAACAAAAAATAAATATCTGATTCTGATGTGATTTTTCAGACCATAGACTACATGCTCAAAGCAGCCTGTAAGAAATTATGGCCTATTAAGTGTGGAATCTATAAAATTCAACATACAAATTAATAACAAAATTGTGTGATTTTCATTAGTAACACTAACCATAGAATTTTCTTCCAAGAATATGAACAACATGTAGTATTTGCTCCTTTTTTCTAAAACCTGTTTTCAAAGTAAAAGGGTTAAAATTTTTCCAGTTTGGATTTAATGTTAAGTTTTACTCAGTTAATTACAAGTCCTCTTCATGCCAATTTTTCCAGGTGTTTTCAAGAGGCCCTTTGAAGAGGTAATACGTTATTTTATCTTTGATTTATGGAAAATAATCCTGTGCTTTAATAAATTAATGAATCACTGACTTGTGACCATTACACATTACCTGAAGCTAAAGTTCAGTGCCTTCTTACTCTCAGCTAGTTTCACTTCTTCAGATGATCAGGGGTCCTCACATTTATTGTTATTGAGTATGTTATATTCTGAGAATTATTAATTGGTACCCATTATAACTGTGTCAAGAACAAGTTGCCAGTTCCTGCAGCCATAAAATTATTGAGCTGGAAGAAACTGATGAGATCACCTGAACACTAATCCCTTGCCCAGAGTCATGACCCCACCGAAATGAGGCCTCCCTCAGCAAAACGTCTGTATTGCTGAACAACATTAAACAGGGAGAAGAGGGGAACAGAACATAGGTGCCAAAATTGCAATGGTAAGGAACTTGTTGGTTTTCTTAGGATCAAAATCCTCTCCTGCACCTCCACTGGACCAGTAAATAACTGAGTGGACAAGATCTCAGTTTTGGAGAACTAGGATGTTATGCTAGGGGTTGCTGATGAGCGTGCCACAATGATTGACACATCCCTAAGCACATGACCCTGGGAAATAATTTCAAACCTACTCTTGTCTTGCAACTTGAAGTTGTACTATCACAAAAGTATTCATGGATTTAAATACAGGGAGTTAAACAGTGTAAGAGCTGGAAAATGGGTTTATTTTCATTTTTTTAATACAAAGAAACTCTTTGAGCAAATCTCTAACAAAAGTCTAGCATGTAACAGAGGTCAGAGTTGAAGTGGACCAGCAGGACCAGGACCCTGCCTTTTTGTTACTTCTTCCATTCTGCTCACAAGCCCTTCTGACAACTTGGGCTCCACGGTACACAATTTGAAAACCCCTCCTTATTTACACAGATGAGGAAATGGTGGCCCAGAGTGTTTAAGTTACTCCAACTTTCTCAGTTACTAATTGGCAAATGTATACCATCAAGCCTCGTGAATTAAATACAATAATTTTGACTAGCCATCTCTTTTTGTCAGGGATTGCTTATCTGAAAAGCACAAAATTCTACTCAAACTTGATCAAGTAAAGGAGGAGATACTAACAACATAGAAGGGGTATGATAAAGTGAAGAATTACTAGATTCATAGGCCCTGGAGCTGGGATCCTACAAGACAGAAATTAAATTCATCTGCTTTTTCTGTCTCCATAGATGGGTATAGCAATGCTTTGAAGTTCACAGTGAGTTCTTTTCCAGTTTTCCCTAATTTGGCAACTAGATCAACAGCTGAGAAAGGTGCTAAATAAGATTCATTCTAATTTCAGATAACATCCAGCTGTGAAGTCTAAAAGGGCTTGTTGAGAGGTGTTTCCAGCAAAATTAGCACTACAAGGACTCACCACCTCGCTACCCATACATAATAAAGAGAGAGGACAGAGGGAGTGTGAAGGTCTCATGTGGTCTGAGAAAAGTAGCGTTGATGGAGACAAACTATGCTGATGTCTTACCTCACCTGTGAGGGAAGGGAGCACAGATTAAACTCTTTATCTACTCCATACCCTTGCAGAACAAGATGAATGTGACTGGAAAATAGCATACAACTAGCACACTGACTAGCCTGACTTTAAATTTGCGATCACGATGTTAAGTGAACTTTCAGTACTCACTTGTCTTCATATATTTATATAAGAACTCTGTTTGTCTCCCATTAAAACTGCTGTTACTCATCTTCCTACCACTCAGTTCAACAATAGCCTCTCCTCTTTTTTTTTTTTTTTACTTATTCATTCAATCATTTATTTATATCAGTATGAACTTGTGGATATTTATCTTATACTCCAGATTATAATCCAGTATTAGGTTACTTTATTAGATCAAAATGTTTCATTGATACTTCTTACTTCTTCTAAGCCTTCTCAGCAGCTAGATCTTGGAAAAAGTCCGAATACTAAATGTAGATCCATAATTCTTTCAATATTTATCCGTCTGTACCTATATTAAGCTGAATATTACTCTTACTGATGTTTCTAGCTCTATTCTAGTATCACATCATTCATTTAGCCATACCCGCTATATACATCCATAATAAAATTGGCTCCCATTGGCCAGCATCTGTATACATAATTATTTATTCAGTCATAGTATATTCATTTCAGATTGTTGGCCTTGTGAGAAACAAGTATAATGTCTTTGTAAAATTCCTTTTCTTCTTTAGTCTTACAATCTCCACTTATTTCCAAAGTTACTTAGATCAGCACTTCTTTCTCCCTATTATTTTCAGTGTCATCATTTTATACATATTTAATACAGCTAGATTCTTGTGCTGCACTTTGCAGGAAGGGGAGCACTACACACTGGGGTCTGTTGGGGGGAAATGGGAGAGGGACGGGGGGGTGGGGAGGTGGGGAGAGATAGCATGGGGAGAAATGCCAGATATAGGTGAAGGGGAGGAAGGCAGCAAATCACACTGCCATGTGTGTACCTATGCAACAATCTTGCGTGTTCTTCACATGTACCCCAAAACCTAAAATGCAATAAAAAAAAGTAAAAAAAAAAAAAAAATAGCCTCTCCCCTTATACTCAACTGGTAGATTTTCCTTAGGAAATAGATGCAATCAGAAGAGAGTAAGTTTATCTTCTTACCAACAAATCTATTAATTGATGTACATGCATCTGGTACCCATATCTTCTGCCTATTACAAGAGAAAAATTATCTCTGTCCCAGTCTATGGCCGACTCAAAGAATTTTGTTCTTAAATTGCACTCATCTCTCCTGTGTCATCAATTTACCCCTTTCTGCTGGATTATTCCCATTAATACTCAAGCATTAAATAAATGCATAAACAAACAAATAAAAATTTGGACCACTGTTCCTCTGTAGTTTCTATCCATTTCTCTGCTAACCTTTAAAACAAAATTCCTGCAGATATTTGCCTACTTTGATATTAATTTACCTATTCATTTTTCTTTTGGTTATTTGCATGACATGTTTTCTCATTCTATTATTTACAAACTTTCTATTTTCCTATGTTTTCAGATGTCTTTTGAGAACAGTATATAGTTCAGTTTTTTAAAAAATCAGGCAATCTGTTCTTTTAATTGCAACGTATAGGCCTACATATTTAATGTAAAATTGACATGTTTGGACTTAATTATGCCATCTTACTATTTGCTTCCCATTTTTTCTAGTTCAATGGTTTTTTCTTCTCTCTTATATTGCCTTATTTTAGATTGATTGAGATTAGTTATCATT